ATATTCATTCATACATGCATCAATATAATTTTTAATCATATTATCGCATGTTTTAGGTCGTTTTGGTTGAAAATTTGTAACAATTATTGTTAATATATTTGTTCGACGATTAAGTAATGGGGATGATGCACGACGTACATGTTCATTTTCATTACTTATAATTGTATCTGAAATTTCTGAATGTGTCTGTTGTCGATGTTGTTTAAGTGAAGCACGTTTAACAGATGAAAATGGTTCAATAAATGTTCGACGAATAATTTTTGAAAATGAATTAAATGATGGACGAGATGATTTTTTATTAATTATTGATGGTATAGTTGAAGTTGTTTCATTTGTTGATGTTGATATATCTATATTTATTGTTGATGATGGATTATTATCATTTGTTGATGTTATATCATCATGTATATTAGTATTTGTTGTTGATGATGATATTAACATATTTAATGGACATAATTCTTTTGATAGATATAAATATTTTTCAAGTGTTTCCATTCGACTTTCACCATAATGTGTATATAGATATATTTTTTCATCGGATAATTCTTCATCAATTGGCCAAACGAAATTTGGACCAGGATCAATAAAATAATGTATTGGTAAAAGATCAGTTGCATCAATATCGATTAAAGGAATTCGATAAGTAGCTATAAGTAAAAAAACACAAAAAAGTTATTAATTTACTAATGATTAGAGTCGTATTAATCGGTCACAACAAACAAAGTCAGATATGTACATCGCGGTTGAAAATCTGCTGCTGCCATGATGATTTTTAAGAAATACTTCGAAAGTGTCTTTCATCACAATGCTCAACTTGCACAGTTCTCAAATTAGGTAAAAATTCATACAATTTTACAATCTTTTGAAAAAAAGAAGCTAAATCTTCCATGACAACGGCAGCACCGCCATAGACACCTCTGAATAAAACGAAGATTGGAGATTGAATTTAATTTCAGTTTTTTTTTTCTTGAAGAATAACGAATTAAACTTCGTCTATGATATAGAATGTTCCATTTTCTCTGGTACGAATATTTAAGCACACATGGGTAAATTTCGCTCGTATTGTACCGTTTGAGTCAAAAAATAAAAATAAATAAAAGTGAACATGGAAAACATTCGAGTCGTACATTCCATAGAGCTTTATCAGTTACATATAAATCAAGTGTTTTCACAACTACCAGTTTTTCCTTTTGAAAAAAAATGAGTTTTATAAAACAGATGCCTAATTTATATGATTTTTTGGTAAAATAAAATTATCTAAAAAATCGATGTTTTTCAAAGTTTCTTTGGAGAATAGCTTCTAAAATAAGATTTATATATTGTTATCATATATCAATCGAAAACCCTTCAAAAGAAGAATCTAATGAGCACATATAGAACTTTATCGACACATATGGATGCATATTTCAAGGATACTAAAGTGAGGAAGACACTGTAACCTTTCTTCGTCGCACCTCTCTCAGACTTCTCGATGGTTCAAAGTATTAAAAAATTTTGGTAATACATATGGAAACTTATCTCGAAGCGAGAGAAGTCGGTTAATCTCAAAGAAGCTAAAATTATCTAATGTTTTTATTTGATTTTAATAATAAAAATCAATGACTTCTTTGTCAATGTTTTTCAAAATTCAATTTATTTACCTCTTGTTGTTTGCTTAGTATTTTGTTCCATAGGTACAAGTGCTGAAAAGTGTGCAGCATCAAATGCAAGAAATACCTAAATTAAATGCACCAAAGAAAAAGAAAACAAGAGTAATTATCAAAACATAAAAAAAAACACCTAAACTCATTTACCGGTTGTTTATGACATTTTTCAGGTGGAATTTCTATTTAAAATGAACAATAAATAATAAATAATTCTATAAGATTTCTTTTCATATATACCTAATGGTAAATAAATTCCACCGAATTCAATCGGTGAAATAGCTTCACCATCATTTGTTCGCAATATTGTATCTGAATAGACAATGATTGGTCGACGTATATTATTAGCTAATACATAAACATGAAATTCTTCTAAACTTTCATAATATTGTCTTGTTGATGGTGATGAAGATTTTGTTGAACCACCTGTACTTGTTGGTGTTCCTGTTTGTGACGATTTACAACAATTAATTCTAGAAAAGACATATAAAATAATCAATATGTTTTGTTTTGTTTTTTTGTATCTATTATAACATACTCATCATTGGCAATATTTGGATCAGAAGAGTTTTTATTTGAATTTGATGAACTTTTTTGTGAAACACGTGGTTCAGCAGATGATAATCTTAATAAACTTTTCCATTCATCACTCCATTCTTGTTCAGAAAAAACAAGACCATACTAAATAAAATAATATTCATATCTTTATTTTATAAATTAGAAAATAAATTTCTAACTTTTTTATTTTGTACTGATTGTGCCCAACGCCAACGTCGATAAAGTGAATTATTTGGTTTTGATGTAATCATTGTTTCATTCAATGCTTTACGCATTGATAATGAATGATCATGAAAACCCCACATAGCTAAAAAAAAAGAAAAATAATGAAAATGTGTTTTAGAAAAATAAATTATTAATCGTTCAAATTTATAACTAAATTTTTTTATTTTTCTTAATTTTCAAGTATATTTTGTATTATATTATCTTATATCTTAATTGCATTTTCAAAAAATTTAGGTTTTCATAAACTGAATATCCAGAGAGGGTCAGAGTTTGTCTTTAATGAGTTCTCGAGAAGAATAATAATAGTTATCAAGAAAAGAAAAGAAAAGAAGGATACAAGTCCTTTTTGAGTTTTCTTTTACGAAAACATCTTGAAGTCACTAAATCGATTTTTTCCGATGAATTTAGTTTCTGAATCTTTTGAGTCAAGTATGTAAAAGAAATCGTTGAATTAAAGTACACAATGAAAATTATTGTACAATCAAACTAATAATTGAGTCTTCATTCATTCTGTAAAATTCAATCATTTCAAATAGACTTTTTTTTAGTTGTTACTACGATTGTATATTAATTTTATCTAAGAATGATTTTTTGTCCTTACTTTTTAACTTATAATATAAACCATTCTATAATATTGGTCTCCATACATGATTCTCTCAGACCTCGAAACCACTCGCGCATCCAAATTCAATTTTTTTTTCTTCTACGATTAAATTGATAACAAAAAAAGGATATTTTTGTATTTCTAGCCGAATCCATATTGTAATCGTTCGAATATATCTAGTAGAAGATTTGTAGACATCTCGAATATTCCTTATGCATAAACCAATTATTCGCAGACATGTTGTTTAATCAATAGCTTATAAATTCTCTTTAAATTTATTTTTCTATACAAAACTAATGTCTCTCTGAAAATTTATTTCTTTACCAAGTGACGTCGCATGCAATAAACAATTTCCATCTCCACTTGTTAAAAGAGGATATAATTTTGGACAAGTTAATTTTTTATTAACCCACCAATTGAGACGTTCTGAAAATAAAAAGATATATCTACAGAAAAGAAACTATGTTTATCAATACTTGTTTCTTCCAATGTTGTCATTGTTGTTGTATCAACAAGACTATCCATAACACGAGTACGAATATCATCGGGTAATTCATAAAGATTTGGTAATAGAAATGAAGCATCAGCATCATTATGATCGATTGTAACAATTTCATCATTAATCGAAATTCGACGAAAATTTTTTGCTAAAACATTGCGTTGATTATAGACTAGTGTTTGATTTGCAGATACAGTTGATAGAGCTCGATGTAATATTGGATAATTTAATGCATCTGTATCTTTTATAATAAAACAAAAAAAAAGTAATTAAATTTTAATTTTTCTTTTGATTTGGCTTTTTTCTTACTTGTTCGTCGAAGTTTGATATTCGATGAAGAATCATTTAACTGATGAGTTGTATCGTCCTCAGAATTATCTTCATTGATAGCCTTAGTATAATGTTGAGAATAACTATTCATTCTCGTGTTTTATATTCCTTTTTTTTACATTATTCGAACATAGACTGAATGAGCTTCTGTATAAAAAAGAAAATCACCCATTGGATATTGCTTTGTAGATGTGTATGAATTGGTCTTAAATAAATAAAAAAAAACACATCGCATATTAAAAAAGTTATTAATAGTGAGATGTTTTGTACCGATTTTGAAACACACTCATTTGTTGTTTGTTGTTTTACTCTGATGGATGATGTAATTGGTTCATCAAAAACGAATAGCAACAGAAATGAATAACATATCTTGATAATAATTAACTATTAATTAGTTTTATTTTAAAGATTATTATTTAATTCAATTTTAGTTTTTCTAAAAATCATCTGAATAGATGTCACTTTAATTGAATCAATCTCGTTTATATTCATTGGTTGTTATTTTTATTGTATGATTTTGTTCAAGAGGACGCATACAATATCATTGAACCTTTTCTTTTTTTTTCTCTTATATGTATTCGAATGATTAGTTCTCAGTAACTATTGGTTTGAAAAAGCCATCTGGTTGACCTTCTCTTTTCGTTCTTTTACTTAGGACACATCTGTGCTTTGTCGTTGTTCTTTAATCTTTCGTAGTCTCGTTTTTTTTCTTCCTCTATTTGCTCAACTATGTTAAAGGCGAGCATACTTTTTTTTTTGTCTACGCTATTCATATAAATATTCCAAATACATGTGTTTAGCATTTGTTTTTTTTCATTCTTTTATTTTGATTAACTACATTAAAAGAAAAAAACATCAACAATAAAACTATGCAATAGAGTGAAAAACATATACTACAATTGCATCATATTTGTACACTAAGATTGTATTGCTCAATTCTCATGTCAACATTGCATTAGGTACCTATTTAAGATGACAATATTCTTCCTTGTTATTTCAGAATATTATATTGAAAGATAAAAAATAAAACAGATGAATGAATAAAAATTACGTATGATTGACTCAGTCTTCAAATGGTTTAAAATACAATTAAATCGTCTTGATTACCACGTTAATATCACTTAGTTTTTTTTTTTAAATTATGATCGATCAATTATCAAAAACAAATAATTCTACTGGTCTTTTTGGAGAACAAGTAAACTAATATATATTTTATTAATATTGAAAGCAAAGAAAACAAAAAAAAAATATGTTTTGTTTTTTCTTCTAGACTCCAAAAAAGATTCCACAAGAAACAATGATTTTTACAAATGAATTATTTCAACGTGTTATAACAGCTGTACTCTGTTCATTTAATTCAACAACAACAAATAATGATAAACAATATGCATTAAATTTTCTTGAAGATCTAAAAGAAAATCATCCATTAATAAGTCTTACTATTGGTTTTGAATTATTAAAACAACAAACAAATAATGAATCATTATTACATCATTATGGTATACATTTAATTGAATCAATAATAAAATATAAATGGACATTATTAAAACCGGATGAAAAATATTTAGTTAAAGAACAATTATTTATTTTAATCAAAAGTTCATGTTTAAGTCAAACATTTATGGATCCTATTTATATACGTAATGCTTTAGCAAAATGTCTAGTTGAAATGATAAAACGTGATTGTTTTGAGAAAGTAAATACAACTTTAGATGAAATTGTTCTTATGACACAAACTATTGCTCAAATTGAAGGTTTGTTTTTTTTTTTGTTTTATTAAATTAAACAATACTATCGGATGAGATGACTTATTTAAAATGAAAAACCAAATATACCATATTGCAACACAAGTCAAGGAGTGTCGAATAGTATATAGTAAGTCTTACTTTCATAGAATTTTGAACGAACTAGAATTAATTTACTGATCGTTGTGCTTCTTGGTATCAGTCAAGTCTTTTTCTTATTTACAATTTTGTAGAGCTTTTATTCCACGTTCATCTGCTTACTATCCCCAATCATTCTATTTTTGATAGGAAAAATTGTGAGTTTTCAATGATGTACTACTGTTTTTCACTAAAGGTAAGTTTCTATATCTTCAATAGCGATTTAGAAGTTCTTCAAAACGAATGCATGATGCTATGCCCGAAATTAGCTCGCATGGAGAATTCTCCGTCAATTTTTACATTAATTTTCTTATTTTAATACTGTATTTTGAATGTCAAACGTCGATTCTGATGCGAAACAAACACAATACTCGGAATTAGCATAACAAGAGACATTGCATAGTTTATATTTTAACTAAATTGTGGATTTTTTGAAATTCGATCGATACTCTCTTCAGTCTTTTTTTTCCGTGAATTTCAATGAAAAAGAAATTAGTTGAAATTTAAGGATTGTTATGCGGATTCTGAATATCATCTTTACTTCGCACCAGAAGTGACTTTTGATAGTCAGAATGTTAAAGTATAGTATTAAAAGAGAAAAATTGACGTAAGAAAATGGTAATACAAGACGATTGAGGGCATCACGAAGACTCATTATTCGTGAAATATGGTGATGCGTCAATAAAAATAGCCTTTTTTTTCCTATTAAAAATAGAATGATCGGAGATGTTCGATATATGAACTTGTAGGTTGTGAAAAGCTCTAAGCAACTATGTGTAAAAAAAGATTGTACAAAGACTTTCGACTAATACCAACGATCATAATAATCTGTCAATTGGTTTAAGCTCGTACAAAATCTGATGAAAATAAGATTTCCTATGTACTATTCGACACATTGTGATTTGTTCTACAACCTGATATATTGGATCTGTCAATTCTGAATAAGTCACATGATCTTGTAAAATCTTTTTAAAATATTATTATTTAATTTAGATAACAATTCTACTCAACTTGAACTTATTTTACTTGTTTATCGTTTTTTAAATGAAGAATTAACAATTTATGCTCAATCAATACAAATTCATCGTCGTCGACAATTATTAAATCAATTACAAAAACGTTTAAATGATATTTTACCATGTTTAATACGTATATCAAATGATTTATTAATTGTAACTGATCAACGTGAACGTTTAACACAAGCATGTTTATTAGCTGTGAATAGTTTTCTTATATGGGTAGAATATAATCATTTTGAACAGTATGAATTATTTCTTTGTGAATTATTTTTAAAATTTTTTCAACTTAATTCCGTTAAATTACGACATGCTTCATTTGAATGTTTACTTAGTCTTGTTAATAAACGTTTAGCAAAAAAACAATTACAACAACAACAACAACAAAGAAATAAACGTATTGCATTATTACCATCAGCAGCATTAAATTGTCAACAAGAAAAACTTTTTCTTAATTATTTATTAGGAGATAATACATTAGGAATGTTTTATCGACTTTTAATAAATCCAACGGTAAGAATAAAAAAACTTTATACGAATAAAATCAAGAGAAACTTTAGAATCGACAAAATTTATTTATTTAATCTCTAAAATTATTATCACTAGATTTTGTTGCTTCAATTAACAATTCTAATATTCATGATTGATTAATTGATTGATAACAAGAATTAAATTTGTCTTTGAGTATTCTACTAGATGTCCAGAACGAACAATTAGATAGATTAATATCAGGTAAAATAGTAATATAGACATAAAAGATATCATGAAATCAATATATCGAGAGAATGACTAGTATCTTATAGCTAATACAAGGTGTTTGTTTTTAAAAGTTATTCATTTCTAGTCTTTTTTTTTTATCCTATAGAGAATGGATGAAAGATAACTTGTAAGTATCATGTCTTAACTGGTTATTTTTCAGATATATCTCAATTCTCTGTCCTTCCTGGAAAAAGTCAATTTTCGTCTGAAAAATTAAATTTAGCATGCTGGCCTGAGGTCTTATGTTTCATAAATGACATGATTTTTGACTTGGCACTCTCGTTTGTTTCATCAGAATTTTAGATAATTTCTGTCATTTTCTGCTTGAAAAATATGCTTTTCTTTTGGATTGAAAGAGAATGTTAAGCTTCAGACTCAATTTTGTGAATTAAGCTTTTATTATTATTATATAATAAAATACGTCTATCAATAGATGATTAATTTTTCGACTGATTAAACTTGTCATACTTTTTCAGATACACTAAAAGTTAAATCTATTCATAGAGAATTTTGATTTAACAAATGCGAGATATATTTGATGCTTGCTTGTTGAGTATTGATATAAGATTGAAAATTTCATGTATAACCATTTGAAATAATAAATCATTTTTAAGTTCAGACTCAATGCGTAACGTCAGTGTTATTGAGATATGAAACTTTTCTAAAGAATAAATACACTTAAACCTTTTCTTGATAGTTATTACCATTTTAATGAAACTTTAGACTATGACAGGATATGTACCAACAAATTGATTGATGATATTTCCACCTGAAAATTTCATCTACAGATAGATCTATTTGCGAATGAAATATTTTGAAAATTTCCTTTCGAACTAATGTTTTTTTTTTACAAGATAGTGATTTTTCAAAATATCCTAATCACAAGTAGATCTATCCTTAGGACAAAATTTTTCAGTCGAAATATCATCATTCAATTTGTTGATAGATACTGTGTTATAACCTAAAATTCTAGTAAAATGGCTATAATTCTTAAAGTAGAGCAATATCTATATAGTCAATAGAGTGTTTCAGTTAAACTAATCATATTTCTGTATTGATCATTTTAATAATTTAGGATTCCATTGAACAATTACGTACAATAGTTACGAATGATCATTTGAATTGTTTAAAAATGCTTGGTCAATTTCTTGTTAAATTAGCTAATTATTTATTACAATTATTTCAACAATTAGCAACAAAATCGATTGATGATGATCAATTTTTAACTTTTGTTAATGAACGAACACGTTCATTTTTACAATTTCTTCTTCTATTAAATCAACATTCATTTCATTTATTATCATTAAATTCTTATCAAGCATTAAATGCATTCATTATTCGACAACCAACATTATTATCAAATGAACAATTTTGTTTACAATTAGTTGAAAATCTAAAACAATCATTACATCGTATACATTTTCCATCATCAACAACAATATTTATTGAAAATGATAATGAATTATTAAAAAAACAATATGAACATAATCAAAAATGTTTTATTTATGCTTTATTTGAATATGATAGTGAAGAACAATTTTTTTGGAAATTTTTTTCTCAATATAGAACTGAATTACAAAAATTAATTAAATCATTTATTGGAATGTTTTTTCCAGATGTTATTTCTGGTAAGATAAATGACTATAAATATTTTTTATATGCAAATAATTAAATTTTTTCTAAGCTATAAGGACAAACATGATAATGTAATTTTTTATATAGTTAGAAATTAATAATGAAAAAACTATCATTATTAAAAATATTCATGTAAAACATATTTTGACATATGACTATAAGTAATTGTCAAAAAACATTCGAAATAATTATGTAAAATTATTTCCTTTACTTTTGTATTGAATATTTTTCATGTTTGATATAGTTTTAGCCGTTTTTTGAGTCAAATCTTGCCAAGTTTTTGAGAATTTCAATGATTAATATAAAATATTAAAGATAAGCTTTAATTTTGATATTGGATCTATCGATCGGTATCATTGAAATTAGTGAAAGTCTAAAAGGATTCGTCCCTAGGAGCGTTTGCCGGCAAGTTATGATCGATTTACTTAATTTTCAATCTGCTCCTAGGTACTTTCGAAAGATTGTATATCAGAGTTTTGATCCAAATCTTTTTCTACAGATAAATCTAACGGCTCTTAAAATACGCTGAAAGTTTCAACCGAAAACAAATGTTTCTGCATAAAGACATTGAATTTACAAAATAGTCTAAAGCTTGAACAAGGATAAAAAAAAAACCTATTCTTATAGAAATATTAGCTGTTGATAGAAAAATTCTTCTTTTAAAACACAAATCAAAATAAACGCTTCATTAAAATGTAAATATCTTAGTAAGGATACGTTCGTGCTGACTCAAATTTTTGAAGTACTTCTAGTACCTATAAGATCTATCTATCGAGAAAATTTTGACTCAAAATTCAATTATTCGTTAAGTGGAGATTGGCAAGTTAGAAATGAATATTCATTTAACGCATCTATTTGCCATTGAAAGGTCAAAATAGAAATGCCGAACTGGAAAAAGTGGTATCTTCGGGGTACGTGTGAGTGTAGATGAAGAGAAGATTAGAATCCTTGTCTCATATGACAAAAATAATTGAATATGTTGTTCATTGAAATTTTCGGTTTTTCTACACGCACATCGATTTATCGTCGATCCGATACAAAATATAATTCTCATTAATGAGACAAAAACAAAAAAAAACTTTTCTTTTTTTGTTTGAACTATTTTAGAATGTTCAATTGTTGTTCAAACGAATATGTCATGTTTAAAATCAATTCTTCAATGTTTACTTGGATTTCTTGAATCACTTGTTCAACGTACACCAACTAAAATAGATAATCAAATTCAATCATCATTATCATCAATATATTTAATTATTGAATGGGAAGCATTTTATTTATTAATTGATCATGTTTTATTTATTGTTCGTAAAGAATTATTTTCATCATCAACATCAATAATAAAATCTCAACAAAAAATGGAACAACATTTAATGACATCAACAATGACAGAACAATTTTTACGTACATTAAGATTTTTATTAGTATTTACACCAAATTTAAGTGAACATATACATGGACATGTATTAAATTTATTATCAGTTATGTTTTTTATAACAAAACATGATCCATCATTAGCTATTCAAATTATTCAACGTCTTTTAACAACATTTCAATTATATCAACAACACTCAATAGGTAAGATAAATAAAAACAAAACAATTAAATAAAATTTTTCTCATCCTTTTTTTTTTTTGTTTTCTAAGCTGGTACAAATATTCATGAATGTGAAATAATGCAAACTCAAGCAGCAAATTCTTTTCTATATTTATGTAAAAATTTTACTATTAAAATGATTGATTATTATTCAGAATTATTTCCATTTATATGTCAACTTTATAAAGATGAATTTCAATTAACTAAAACTTTATTAACAATAACAATTGATGAATCATCATGTCCAACATTAAAATTACTTGATGCAGCACAAACATTACTTTATTATAAATTAATTCATAATAATGATGAAACACAATTTGAAGCATTTTCTGAACTTGTTAAACCTATTTATGAAACATTTATAACATCATTAACAGTTGATTCATTAACACCATTTATACAATATCTTGATTTATGTTCAAATGAAATAATTGATATGAATATAATACGTTATCGACGACGAAATTTAATGCTTGCTTTACATTGTTTATGTTTATTAATACGTTATTCAAAACAACACCAGCACCAATTAAATCCTATTATACGTTCAAAAATTGCTATTGGTCTTCGACCATTTTTATTTGATTATATATTAAAAGTAACACAATTTTGTAATCAATTATATGATCGACAAATAAATCCATTGTATGAAACATTAAAAGTTAATTTAACATATAGTGAAACAGAAAAACAATTATATTTGGGAACTTATGAAAGTAATAATATGGCTAAAGCAACAATAACATCAACGTAAGATATATATATATATTTATTTATTTAATATTTTTCTAACTAATTATTATTTTTATTTTTCATTACACAAAAAAAAAAAAGAAAATTTTTTTTGATAAGACACAAAAATTTTATTCAATAAGGTTGAATAATTTAATATTTTTATTTTTGTTTAGTACGACACCATCAAGTCTCCCAGTAAGTTTTGTTCGATTTCAATCAACATCAGGTGGCAATATTATTGATGATCAACGTCTTCGTGATTATCTTCATCGTTTATTTGATATATGTTATCAAATAAATGGAATGTTTTTTGCTCATGATACAGATTTATATTATTTAAAATTAAATGATGATAATTATTTTATAACATCATTTTTACAAAAAATTCTTTTTGAAAATTTAAATACTCTTCCATCATTTCGTCTTCGTATTGTTTTACGACATTTTTGTCGATCATTTGTTGAACATTATTGTTCATTATTAATATTAGATAAAGAAATAATCAATGAATTATTTCTTACATTTCTTGATATATTTTTACCTTATATTCAACAACGTTTAACAACAATGTGGAATAGTTTATTAACAACAACAATTAATTATCAACAAGGTGAATGTTCAGATGAAGTTATTGAAGAATGTGTTTGTGTTTTATTAACACGTGATTTTGTTGATATTATAAGATATTTTATATATAAAACAACAATTCTTGGACAAACGAATTCAACAATAAGTGGAATAAATAAAAAAAAGAATAAAATAATGAATGGACATGGTCATAGTGAAAGTATGTGTGAAGAAACAAATGGTATCAGTGGTGATACAGATCAAATTGATGAATGGGATGAACAAGCAACTAATTATAATAGTATTAATAATAAATTATTAAATGGTACACAAGAAAAAATGGATTACAGTGATCTTTTCAATTACATGATTAAAATGTCTCGACAAAGTAAGTTATGCATATTTTTGAAATATGTTTTTTTTTTTGTAAATGATATATATAATCAAATTTGATGTTAGTTATGGTTTTATAGAAGAATTTATATTACTACATTTTTCGACTATAGAAGAATTTTATGAAAACAAATTTTTAGTTCGACATCATTATATTTTCGGAAGATATTCTAAAATAAATTATTTGTTAACCTAAATTTGTCTGTTGTAAGCTTTCATTTTATACACTTAATCTTTTTTGATCTGTGACATAGAGAGAGAGGATGTTACGTGAAGGCATCTCTATGGCAGAATTGTAACCATTTTAGTTCAATTTTCATCAGTTGGAAAATATTTTATAGCTATGTTATATTTTTCTGATAAAAGTTATGAAAAGCAAGTTTGTTTGCTCTTATTAAATTAAATAAACAATATTGCATGTCTCAAATCGGAAACTTGAATTCAATTCGTTTGAATATTTTACATTGAAAATTCAGATATTCGAGTATTCACAGAAAATTACACATTACTGATCTCTCTGTGTGGGTACTTTGAAGACACACTTATACATTATCTCCATCGAAATATTTGAACAGGATTTCAATAGTCGTATTCAATTTTCAGATTTGAGACTACTATTTTTTTTTCGCTCTATTCACAAAAATATTACATATTCATCGTTAAGAAACCTAATAGATACAAATGACTATAATATGATATCTTCTTGCTAGAGATTTGTAAAAACCTGAATAGAAGAAAGAGCAATGAATATTTTTTGAAAGTCTTCTCATTAGTCGATTAATAGTTATCCAGCGAACTGGACCGGTTTAAATATTTGTAATCGGCTACAATTCTATTGTAGAGGAGATGATTTTAAATATCTGCTAAAATTTCTTTAAAAACAATAAAAACATTTTCTCTTAAAGAAAAGTTTTCGTTCATACGATAACGATTGTTTATCAAATAATCAAAATTGAACCAATGACACGTTTTTAAGGTAGTCTATTCTATTTCTTGGATATAACAGCACTGAATAGACTTTTTAGCTTATTTTCAAGAAAAATATCACTCAAAAAAAATCCGTTTTTAAAATTTTTTGTTCTTTTTTTTTTAAATCTATTTATTAATTTAGATTCACCACTTGCTCTACGTCTTTTAACTTATGTTATAAAAACATTATTTGAATGTTTAACATTTCCTGATGCATATTGTGTCAATCGTTTTCTACCAATCATCCTTCCATTAACAAAACTTTATACGGATATTATTGATAAACTTGTTAATTCATCATCATTAATCGATATTAAATTTCTTTTTCAATGTTTACTTAAAGGACTTGAACGACATAATGAAAATGAAGGTGTTAATACAAATATGATGTCATTAATTGGTCATATTTATGAATTATGGCATAATCAATATCAAACAGAACTTGATCTTGTTTTATATCAAACAATTCCACAATTAAATATTGAATTATTAAATACATATAAAACACGTTTATTATCGAGTAGTAATAGCAATAATGAACAACAAAGAAAATCACAACAAATAACTGAACGTGAACGACGTGATACAATTAAAAATTTACTTAATCCACTTCTATTATCACCTATGTCAAGTAATAAAAAAGAAGGACTAAATTTAAAAATTCCATATAATCAAACAATCGTTTCAACACTTTAGAAAAGAAACAAGGAAACTTAAAAGGGCGCATGTAACAGTTGTGGGTTTTGTTTACTTTGGTTCTTTTTGTTTTTTTTTTCTTTTGATCTAGTCGTCTCAGGCAGCAGCAGTTACTTGTGTGTTGGTTTTTGTTTAAAAAAAAAGAGAGAAATTTTCACATACTTTGTATTTTGGCTGTAGAGCTCATTAACATCATAGATTTCGTTGTTTATTTTTTTTTCTTGTTTTCTGTTTGTTGTTATTACTTCTGTTATTACTTGTTTTTTTTTGCTCTAAGACTTGCATGCCTATATTTACATGTTAAATAAAACTTTTGAAAAGGTTACAAGTTATTGAAAAAGAGAGTTGTCTGTTTGAATTGAATAAGATCTTAACGACAATAATTGATATGAAAACTATAACATGTGATTTATAAGAAACAACGTATAACTTCATTTCTTCACCATCCTTTTATTGAAGCTTTAAAAGTTTAAAAATAATGTTGATCTTTGTTTTGTTTTTTTTTGTTAGGGACTTTCAATTCAAAATCTTGAAAACGGCCTATTTTGATATAAATATACTAATTAAAATTCCAAATTTTCGAAACATTAATTTATTAAGGGTAGTTCTTTTATTTTGTCCAGCACGTCACTCCTTCAGGGCGATTGTATATTGAGGGAAAGAGCTTTAGTATGTGTCACGATCTGAAGGAGAGGTGCAAATTTCTACTCTATATAGTTCAACACTTCGTTTAGATCATGTTTTTCAAAACTAGATCGCATCAATGAAGTAGTTTAAATTTTAACATCAAGAATTTCGGGTTGTTATAATTATAAGCTGAAAAATGTCCACTAATAGACAAACATGAATACTACTGTAGCAGTTGCAAGGCAGTTGAAGATAGTCAAATTAACGTACGTTTAGAACTAGAGCGGTTTTATCAGCTTTTAATATAGTAAGTTTTGAATCAAACGAATTTTTTAAAGTCTGGACGAAAACAAAGAAATAATGATAAAGTACAATGCTTTAATATGATCTACTATTAACTCAACATTTTTTTTTAATGTAAACGATTATTTTATTTTATTTTCTTTGTCAATAAAACTAAAATTTTAATTCCGTAGAAATCACATTTGATTTTTAATGTGGTATGTATTCAATTTTGTATGTGAATGTCATATAGTTGCAAATACTAATACTTGATATCGAAGTTGTTCAATTTCTACAAAATATTGACTGTCATCAACAGAAAAACGAAATTCATGATTTACACCCTTAATAATATGAAAACGTTCAGTGGAATGATGTTTTGTAAGTTCTTTACATAAGTATTGATTGACATTAGCATATTTATATATTAAAGTAGGACATTATTGGCTTATTTAAAATTCTATATTAGCAAGACATTCACAATCATTATCAAAACTAATCTTACTCACAACAATAAATACCTCAAATTCATGTTGAATAGACGAAGTTAGATTGCTTCAACTATTTCATTTTCTATATGACTCTGCTGCAATTGCAATAACCATACTAATCAGTTTCACTTTAGTTCTTCCAAATACTATGTCAATCACTCGATCCATGAACATTATAAGTTGTATACAAGAAAAAAAGTTACTTCTTTTTCTAATTTATATTGCACGTTTTTATACACATAGTTAGTTGTTATCTTTTTTATCATATAAAAGATATGTATTATAATAACAATTTTATTTTGTATTACATGAATAACTTGTCAATCAGCATTAGTTATTTGCAATATAGAATAGCAGAAATTAGAAGTTGTGCAAGTCGTGAATATAATGCAATTTAGAGACAACAAGTATTTGAAAGATTCAAAACAAGATTAAATTTATTATCTATTAATAGAAGCTATATATTTAATTATTTTTAACAAATCTTTGTTCTATTAATATGATTTGAAAAAAAGATATCGAATATACAATATTGCTTTTCAATTATTTTTCTCTGATTAGAATATATAACAAGTGATTGGTCGACATTTATCAATATGAGGTTTTATGGATATGAAAAATTATATGGATTAGAAAAAAAAACATGATTAACAAAATCGAAATTTGTCTAATTCCATTTGAGTATCATTTGACTATTAGCATCATGTGTGTTCGATTTTGTGTGTGAATGTTGTTTAGTTGCAAATATCAATACTCGATATCGATCTTGTTCAATTTCTGCAAAATATTGACCATCATCAACAGAGAAACCAAATTGATGATTTTCACCAATAATAATATGAAAACATTCATCAGGATATTGTTTTGTAAGTTCTCTACATAAATATTCATTGACATCAGCACAAGTACTCATCATTGTAGGAAAAGTTTGACTAGTTTGAAATGCTATATTAACAAGACGTTCACAATCATTACCAAATCTAATTGAACTTGATGCAATGAGTACTGCTCGTGGATATGGACTAATTGGTGATAATTCGGACAATGACCTTCTAGATAGATCATGACTTGATGATTCGTGTCGTGATTTGCTTCTTTCTTTGGCTTCATAAACAATACATATGCCCTGAACCGTCCATAAAGCAACGTTGATTATCAATTCAACTAAACGATCGGCCATGTAAATTTTAAATTATATGCACATATGTTTTATACGAAAAAATGAATACAGGATCCCTTAACAAGTCATATTATTATATTTATTCTGCAATCTTTTATCTCTTTGTTTAGTTAATGACTTATGTACGTAGATAAAGATCGTCATGATTATCGAATAAAATGTGAGAATAAAAAAACATCGTATGACTCATGATTGTGACTAACTTTATCATAAGTTTTTGATACAAACCACAATAGAATTTTTTTTATGAATATCAGTAAATATTCTCATATAGCATCTGCTTTATTTCATATACTTTGTGATGGATATATTCTGTAAATTGATCATCTTCATTAATCTGATATTTTGTATTATGACATAAAGTTATGTGTAAGTTGCTTGATGACTATTATTCGCTGAAGAAATAATTATCATTGAGTATCTATTCACAAAAACATTAAAGTGTTCGTTGAATCAAGATCTATTTGAAAAGTGATTCGAAAACATTACTCGTGATGAAAGTAAAAGCTTAGAATTGAAATGACTCTACTTTATTGACTTTTGTAGTTTAGTTATAAAAAATTGTAATGGCTTTTACTTACTGAGTATAAATTAGCTGTATTAGTTATTTTGAAAAATTCGGCTTTGGTATTTCTGCAGATTTTTTGTAAATCAAAACATACTTTTGCATTCTTTTTTAAATACTCATCGAAATTAGACAAAAATTGTCACGTATTGAAGTTATACGTAAAAGTCAGAAAATGTATTGTATTATCAATTGCGTAATACAGTAAAGGTCAAGGTCAATAACTTGTTTTATTGACTTGAAGAACAGAAACAACCAACAAGTTAGATGAAACGAAACGAACAAAAGTAATCATCTTTTTAAGGAAAGATAAGCATATATAGAGAGAGATAGATCTATATGTTATGATGACTCATACAAATGGAATGCAGAATACGAAAAAGAAACAAAAAGAAATATAACAATAGAAATATTGTTATATCCGAAATTAGAGTGATCACAACATAAAAGGAAAAGAACACACATATATATATAGAATTATACATATATCTAAATCATGACTCATCAATAGACAAACACCAACATATAAGAAATGAAATAAATGTAACAATAATAACAAATATTGTCAATACACTACAAAATATAAGAAAAATAATATGTACCAAAAGAAGAATGTGTCGTATTTTGCAATATAATTTACAACAAATTCTTCTGTGGCACATTTTGAAAACTCGATTTGAAACGAGTCTTTATCGCATGTGTCATGTTTTTCACAGAAGGAAAAAAAGTTTCTATTTTTCTAGTTTCATTCGGCTTAGTGATAGCGATCCTTAAAGCTCAAGGCCGCCAAATCTTTAGATCTAGCCATCTTGAATTCGTTTGATCTCGATCAGACTTTATCAAGGCAGTCTTTTCTTGATCATCGATCGATCTATTGGCATGTCCTCGAGTAATAAATAATCGAAAAAAAAAATCAGAAAAAAAAGTCATACGAAAATAGATCAATTCATTATGTTCAATGGATTGCATATGTGCACATGTATATGTAAAATAAAACAGTGAATGAATAATTAGCAAACTGATCATAACACATTCATAATACGATGTATCTTAATGCTAGTGTTTGAAACATTTATAAATAGCAATGCATGACTGCAACACTTTTCATTTTAGAACGTATGTACATAGACATTGTCCAGAAACTGAAGGCATATGTCTTTTGAACGAAAACCAAATACCTATGAGTAGTTCATTTAGTATAGGTCGTTGCCGAATTGTTACAACATTAAATTCGATTTCTGTCACGTATTTTGTATTAACAGCAGATGGATATAGCTTGCATTATATATATATATATTGTATCTCAATTATTCTTATCATAATGGCTGTTCTTATCGATCTTTTTATTTGTTCTCGTCAGTCCTTCATCACAAGATCTTCATATCATATAGAAGAATAGAAAAAGAAATAATAATCTTGTAATAATAGTTTATCTTCAATTAAGAGACTATTCTATCATGATCTCGAATCCAGAGTTTCATGAAAATGACACAGAAAACGAAAGACGCCAAAATACTTTTCAACGTGTAGAAGAGTAAGTAAACTTTCATTCATTATTTTCTCTATAGTTCTGTGTCTCAATTTGATGTACATAACTAACTTTATAATGACTTGACAAAAAAAAAAACTACAACAAATATTAATATCGATTGAATATACATGTCAACTTTCGAAATTGAAAGAGATAACACATTTCATTGAAAATATTTCTAACATTATTATTCAATTAATTTTCTAAGTTCCTATCTATAGATATACATCAGCAAGATGGGCTCGAATCACATGTTTCATATTAATTGCTATCATGAATTTGAGTGCATGGATCGATTTGCAAGGACTATTTGTCGAAATACCTCTCATTGTTCCATTTACTCCAGAAAGATGGACTTTACCGTCTATAGCAGCCATTTGTGTCTGTGCAGCTAATATTGTTCCTGTTATTGTTGTGTTATTGCGTTGGCATCAAGGAAAACGATTCTCTGAGATTCCTTACATATATATGATTATTATTATCGGAATAATTGCCTGTTTTGTATTGGCCTTATTCTGGCAAAAAACAATGTTTTTATGGGGTCGCGAACGAAGTGTGTGGCTACTCACGTGTATTTTTATTCTATCAATGCTGGATTGTACATCATCCCTGGTCTTTTTCGATTATATGAAACGTTTTCGCACACAATATTTAAGAGCTGTTTTCTTAGGTGAAGCACTAACATCTGCTATTCCTACCGTATTAATACTTGCGCAAGGTGTAGCAGGTGAAACAATATGTATTCAGAAAATTAATAGCACTCTTCTAGAACCCAGTTATACTCAGCCACGTTTTAGTGTCAAAATTTTCATGTTTTGTATCGCAGGTATCATCATCGCATCACTTATTGCTTTCATTCTTCTTAGATGGACCAGTATCGTCCGATTAGCCGATGCTGCAGAAAAGGTAAGTGGCTCCTAGGTATCTTAGAAACTGTTTTGAAACGCGGATTAACACTATATTGAGTTAGTAAACGGATTTATTGCTGCTCTGCTTCCAATTAACATGTTTCAGCATCATTGGCTCTGGCACCAAAACATTGCTTGTAGAAAAATGTGGAAATCATTTGAAAAGTAAAGAAGGTCCTTAATTCGTTTATTCTTGCAAGAATTCTCTTTATTTACCTTAGTAACTAGGTGGATATATCGTTTCTTTATGGTTTTACATTGTAGAATGTTCGTGAAAAAGCAATATCTAACAGAAATGTTGCTGTTGAAGAGAACTTACCTATGGTTAATGTTATCAAGTCACGTACATCATCGAAATCAATTCAACATATGCCACGACGTTTATTTTTTCTTTTTTTAATTCTTAATACAGTTAATTCAACTATATCATTCGGATGTTTACCATCATTGAGTACGTATGCTTTATTACCCTTTGGTCAGAAAGCATTCTATTATTGGAGTGTTCTCCTTCCGATTGCTTATCCACTTGCATTACTACTAAGCATATACTGGAAACATGTTTCGAATCATGTAATCGTCCTTCAATCAATATTTAATTGGCTACTTGCTACTTTCATTTTTATTATTGCTAGACAAAGTCCATGCCCATGGTTAGCAGATACAATACAAGGTGCTTTGATGATTATTACAGTATGGTTTATAATGTCATTAACAAGTGGTTTTCTACGAATAACAATTGGTAATCGTATTAAAAGTGAATGGGAAGATGATAAGGGTATGTTTTACTATGGTGGAACAGTTCAATTAGGATTATTATTAGGAACTATACCCATATATATATTAATTAATGTATTTGGCGTTTTTATAGATCGAAAACCATGTCGAGCATATTGTTTTTCCTGATATCTATATATGCTGAATTTAGCTGATTCATGTGTTTTTGACAGGCTGAGTTTCCAGTTTTGATGTTATTGTCGTATCTTACTTAGTTTTTTTTAAATATGTATCTTTTATCTTTAGAAGAAGTAAATATTGAGATACGTCTAACATGTTAATGAACTAACCGATGTAAAATCCATGTATTGAATTGGTATACTTTCTTCTATTTTTCTATTGTAAGTCAGATGAATTCCATTCGAAGGAATTTTCAGCTCAGACTTTCGGGCCAGGCTCATATTTCTCTCATTAACTGATCTATGAACTGGAAAGCCTTTGAAAAAGTTGGTACAACACGTAGTACATAGCAGCAATTATTTTCATTAATATTTACTGCTAAGTAGGATGATATAGCGCCCAGCAAAACGAGGTGTGGGTGGATGTAGATCTATTATTCCCTTATACTCACACTTGCACGCCCATACACTTCTGGAATCTGATCATAGGAAGTAGTTGGCTAATGGTTACTAGCAATAGATTCTTTCTTGACTCAACAGAGATCCTGTAGCTGTATTGACCGCTCAAAAAAGAAGATGCAGTAGATATAGTACACCATTCAGACTAGGATGCAGGATGTTGATGTGGGTGAAAATAAGACTGACACTGGTACCCTCATCCATACATCGCTTCATTCCCAAGCCTAATGTTATCGAACACATTTTTCTATATGTGGTACAAAAAAAAGCACATTAATGATTTATTGTTGATTGAAAAATGGGATGTTGGTAAGAGTAGAGAGGAGACCTATCCGTATGTGCATCATTTTATTTCACAGTTGGGTGAGGTGTGGGTCTGGGTCTGTTTTAGAGAAAAGAATACTCACATCCACACCTATATGAGACCAAGCTTTCAATATCTTCAATTATCTTATCACGTCACCATAATATCTGGCACTCACTGTGTCATGTTATTATTTGATGAGACATCACTTCCACTAACAATCATCAGCAATTGTGACATTTTCTCACGTATTAACATCATCTTTTTGTTTTTTTTTGTGGATATTTTTTCTCGAATAATCCTCGCTTTTTCTGTGATACTTAGCTTTGAAGTCATGGTACACAAGAAATCATAAAGAAACTCCTTGAAACGGAAGAGAAACTATGTGTATTACAACTAATGGTCTAGTTAGACATCTTTCTGTCCATGAGAACGAACTCAGTTCTCTGATAAATATATTTCTTTAGTCAATCAGCTATTACAAAATTTAAGAGAACGTCGACGTTCCTAGATGATTGAAAATAATTACAATTGTTGATTGTTCAGTGATCTCCATTTCTACTTGTCCATTATTAAAAAAATTGCGATTGTTAATAGATACCAACAAATGTTTTTATACTCAGACAAAAAACATATTAGGTCTGGCTTGCCATCATGGAAATACTATAGAAACATACACAAAAATACAAAAAAAAAACTGTAGTACACTGTGTAGTATATAGATGTCATTATGAATAGAGTTTATTCTTATCTTTTATTCAGTGCATGAGATAGAGCTCACTGAGTTGAATGTGTTTGAGCTCGAATCCGGATTCTAATCATACTACTAATATCAACAAAATCTTTTTGTGTGATTCCGATAGTTGCTCTGAACTTTGTTATGGAAACACTCTACACACTTCTCAGACCTTATTGATGATGATCCTCTAGTATCTAAGTCATAATTAGCTTTTACCTTGAGAGTATGACCCGTCGAGTCAATCTCGGATTTGAATCCAGAAGCGGTCAGGTACTATTATGGAGTCAACTGGAAGGAATCTATTAGAAAGTACTTGTACTTAGATGATAAGTTAAATGGCCATATCTGTTTTCGATATATCATACAGTGCAAAAAAGTGCAGAATGAGTTCTTTCTTGTAATTGTTTGTTGAAACTATATATTATAGAGAACAACGTCTTCAGAGTCCAAAAGATAATCTATAAATGATTCGAATTTGGATAATTATTTATGCTTTTATTTTTCTTATATTACGGATTAAAACCAAATTTTACAAGTTTAATCAGTTCACAGATCATCTCTTTTTTAGCAGCTGCAATTGTACTGTGACTCATAATCGTAAAAAATTGCGACGAAAGTACGGCGTAGCTACGTCGCATTTCAATCATGAGGCACAATGCGAACGTAGTTACGACATAAGTGCGTCGCAGTTGTCAAACAAAAAGCGACGAAATGCGTTTTAATCAATTTCTGATGTATTTCTATCATCCCAATTCAAAAAAGGATGCAGCAGTCCGAACTTTGTTTTATCTACTGGCGTTCAGCGTAGTGAGAAGTTCATGGTGTTTCTAAACAAGCCATTCAAAAAAGACGAGAAATTCGAGTTTCAAAGCTTGAAACTCGGGAAACATAGTTATCTTTGATATTTTCTCATTTAAAATCAATGCACAAATAAAAATCAATTAAATGTGATTAAAACCTATTAGTCAATAATAAAATATTAATATACATTTGGAAGGAATAATAAACTAAAAGTGATTGACAAGTATCATAGTCTGGCTTATGTAAAAAAATGGACGAGAAAAATCCGATTTTTATTAACTTTTTTTTTATGATTTAGACTCGATTAAAATAGAACGATTTTAATCTATTTTTAATCGCGAATTAATCGATAAAAATCAGATTTTTTTCATGTGTTTTTTTCATATAAGTAACGCTTCTTTCTGTTTTTTTCTTTCATGCTGCATTGTTTACCAATCAGCTTCTTTATTGATTCTTTTTCTTCTCTGACGTTGCAATGCTTTTACAACAAACAAGACAGAAACCTTCAAAAAGTAAAAAAAAAAAGCATGGCATAAAGTTCACTGAAAAAAATGGAGAAAGAAAGAGAAATTACTTGTACACAAAAGAATCTGTTGCTTTACGTGATTGGCATTCATGCTGCCAACATTTGAAAGCCATTATTTTTCCCAAGATAGAAAATGAGAAACTATGACAGCAGCAGCTTTCTGTATTGAAGACGTGAAAAACAAGAAAGAAGTTTCTTCACTCAGAGCGGGGTCTGTATGTAGATTTGTTTTTCAATATATGGCAACTTTTGGTTCGCTTGAGTTTATTATTTGTGAGAATCGTATTTATGAATGTGTTTTTCTTTTTTCTTTTAGATTAAGATCTCGTTGCATACCTTCAAGCCATTTTTTTCCTTGAATAGGTTCATTATTAAAATTGATTGAGCATAGAAAACTTAAGAACTTCTCTATGAAAACATCTTACGATTTCTAAACTTTAATGGAGTGAGACAGTGAACACTTGTATTCAAAAAGTAAAAATTCACTCATACAAAGATTTCTTTGATATTTACTAGCTTATGAATATCGACTACTGAGAGAAATTATTTTCTTTAACTATAATTGATAATTTTAATGTTAATTTTAGTCATCACTTATCAAGACAGACTGAAGAAAACCGTTATCCATTCGAGTTAATAATAGAAAATCTACTCTAGAGTTTAGCCAAATATAACTTTCATTTTTCTCGCTCTTGTTTGATTAGTTCTTGAATATTTAAGTTACAATGAAGAAAAGTATTACCAGCATGTAGAAACATCAGTTAACATCAGCGAAGCGCTGTTCATCTACTTCACTTTCTCTCATCAACTAGAAACAGTTGCATGACTAAGTTGGCAGCGCTATTTTATATCTTATTGTGTGATTAACTAAGAAGAAGAAATTTCGACTGCTAAGTCTGTAGTAGTGAGCTTGTATTTGGACAATAGATAGGCGATTAAATAAGACTAGACAAACTCTAAAGTGACTTACTCTTGTAAAAAAATTCTTCTCAAAATTGTAGTCATTTTACTAGGTTTTGTTTTAGTTTTTGACAAAGCATCTAATAGAAAATTAAATTTTATCTTTTCAATCAGAGGCTATGTTGATAAATAGATTTCAAGGCTATTCAAATATTTTAAAAGATCTTTCGATGAGAGTCTTCCGTATCGAGATTTAAGATGTAGAAATTACACAGGACTCTGCTCTGCTAGCACGCCTAATAATCACTTTTCATGGATTTCAAAATCTTGATGTAAAAATTGTTCGTTTTTACTGGAACTTTGTGAAAAGCTGAACAAAAATGAATATTTTTCGTGAGTGAACTCTTAAAGCAATTGTTTCTTAGTTATTTTTGGCAAAATCTCGTAATAAAACTTCATAATGTAGCAGGATAAGCTTACTTTGAAAATGAAAACTCTTTTTTTTTGCATTTTTATGGTATTATTAAGCTCTAAATTATTATGTGCAAAAGAGTATTTCCAGTAAATTTTTATATTTAGCAGCTTTCTTATTTAGGCAAAGAAGTTCATTTTGATTTTATGTATTCACATTTTAACTAAGTATGCCATCAATATCAGACAATAAGTGACGATACAATTTAATAAGTATTTAGAAATCCGTTTCTTTGATTTTGTTTCAGATAAAATATTATTCTAAGTGTCTGATTATCCGTGTAATCTAGCGTAATGGGATTCATTTGAAAGATAGAGAATTTAACTCAATACACTAGCCGCCTCGATCGAGCAAATCCATGCTCTTCGTTGTTTTGATTGAATTTAAGTTTTAAGTCTTGGGTCAGTAAGTAGTCAATGTTTGATTTACTACCGCAAGCTATATGAGACGTTATTATCTAAATTTCTCACAGCTGTGCTGTATTGGAATAGATAGTAAATGTTAAAAATCTATTGGTATAATTCAAACTTTACAAAAAAGCCTCTCAGAAGGAATAAACTAATTTAGTACACAAGAAGCACATATTTTAGAATATTCTTTAGAAAAACTTGTTTTCATTATTCCAATGTATTTGTTATAAATGTATACACGATGGCTTTCGAGGGCATTCCATAGCTTGAAAAAGACTAAAAAAAAAACTTCTGAAATTTTCAGCTTAGAAATAACTCTGCCAATGGAGTCAAAAGTCATATTAGACTTGAAATAATCGGATAGGTCTTGGAAGAAGATATAGATGATTCAGGTGGTGA